CCAAGCAAAGCATTCCACCTTATCTGCTACAGATATCAGGAGTTCGAATTGATTGAATAGCGGAGGAATTGAGGGTTTGCTGTTGACCAATTCTCACTTGCAGAGACGCCAATAATCTATAGAATCGAACTTGCGAGATGGTATAGGCATCTTTGAGAACACGCTTGCACTCATTACAAAGTGACGTCTGTTGCAGGCGGAAAAACTGATTCCTGTAGGCTATGGCGGCCAAGCATGAAAGTGAGAACCAAGTAGATGATCGCGGTGTAACTTGGTATTTCCCCGCTGGAATGAAAGCATCGACGCTCGCTTTAACCCAGGAGGATACATCAGACGCGCATTTTTGAGCAGGATGACTAAAAATTTCTTTCCATGGGACGTCACAAAGGAAATCACGGACCGAGTCACAATCTGTTCGTTGATAACAGAAGGATATTCTGTTGGTAGATGGTTCTTGGCTGATGGAGGATCAGAAGAAGATGTTTACATACACTACCGCATGATCAGAGCAGAGCTGCGTAGTATAACAAGAGTAAGTGATAGAGTTAAAAAAAGAGATTGAGAAGAGAAGCGTGTCTGTCAGGGCCACTGAAAAAACGTGTGGGGAAGTCAACTATTTGCCTGAGAGATTGAGTGATTGAGAAGTTAAGGGTCTAGATGCCAGCAAGGTCAGTGACAGTGTGCTTAAGCTACCTGGCATGGTAGGCATGAAAGTCACTAAACACGAATATATCTACAGACAGGTGTAGGGAGATGGCCTTGTGTGTATTATCGGAAATGCTATCTAGCATGCAACAGACTTGAGAGGAAGGGTAGCGATAGAGAAAGAAGAGATAGCTGACCGAGTTAAGTAGAGAGAGGCGTAGACACATGTACGACTGCTCTGGAGATTCAAAAGAGAGTTCACTATCCAGCGGGAGATGATGTTTGCAAACATAAACTCCCAGGCCATGCATGTGGACTTTAGAGTTCTTTCTAAGGAGAGGAATGTAGCCAGGAATCGAGAATTAAGTGAAGGAGATTGAAGAGGTAAGATTAGTTTCGCAAAGAGCTAAGATGTCCGGAGACATTTCGAAGAGGAAAGATTCCACACTGCAGAAGTTGGTACGATTATCACGAATGTTGGAGAAATAAAGATTAAGGGGTTTAGCTGCTTTTTTGTTGAACTAGTTTGGGTCTATATATTTGGTTGTTTATAGTCATGATGTGTTATATTGTTAAAGGAAAGTAGTAGGAGCAGCAATCGGTCATCTAGTGTTACACGTGCAGGAAGGGAACTGGCGCAGACTGCAACATAGTTTGGTTTCGGGCTTGCCCAACGGAAGTGCTTGCAGGGACACTCTTCCATGCGTGACATGGCACTGCCAGAACCCCGATATTATGCAACTGTTGATCAGAGCAGCCTCTCAAGAAGATATGAATGAGTTCGGGCTTCTAACTGCCAGTCAGGAAAGGCAACAAGAAAACTGCCAACCCTGTACACTCAGTATGAAGAGAAGTTGCCACCATCTACGTTTATCATAAAAAAAATAATGATAACACCACTATTAAGGCCTGAGAAAAGAAACCTTAAACTGCAAACAAGGGGTGAGCTTCTACTCCTGTTCAAGAGAAGATGAGTATGCTTATCTACTCCTATTAAAAAAAAAAACGGAAAACAATTCCGTGTTTGACTTGCAGGTTCTTTTCGTGAATGTTATTTACTGTTATATTGGTTTTATGTGTGTTAAATGTTCTTAGGGTTATTGTCCCTTTTTGTTTCTTTCTTGTTTATAATTGTTCCGAAAATTTCAGGGTTAAGGGAAACTTTTGAAACTGTCAACTCTGAATTTTCACGGTGCGAAGAAGATAAGTCTGCATTGTTCTTTTTACTGCTGCTACTCTTGCTTGTGGTGGAAGGGTCGTTTTTATAATGGTTAAATTTCAATTTTTTATTTCCAGAATGATGAAATATCATCATGATTTGTGGAAAGGTTGTTTTTAGAATGATGAAATTTTAGATCTTTATGAAATATCATTATCATGAATCATAACAGGCAGAAAAATTAGTGTCAATTATATCTAAAGTTTTCGTAATGTACTGAAGTTAGAGCACGTGATTGAATTTCTTTGGCCAGAAAGAATTTTTGTGTGCCAAAAATATAGTGATTGATTTAGACCTTTAATTCTTCTTGCAACACATTGTATTATAATGTGTTAAATATTTAGTGATCTTCACAAGTCGCTTAGTACATCTACTAACTTGACAAAAAGATTATTCTTTTTATATTCTTCTTCTTCAAATAAGTACGGTATATTTCCACGTATAAGACGACCTTTAAGTCCCCAAAATCCCCTTTAAATATTGCGGGTCGTCTTATATTACAATCCTAAAAAGGAAACCTTAAATCCTGAGTGATGTTTGTCGGTAGGCTAGCCTCGGTGCGATAGCCAATATCGTACATGAAAAAATTCGAATTATCGAATAAAGTGACTGATAATAAAACCATTTATACCTTATATATTTATAGCATAACTTCATAATAAATTGCTTATTCGAGTAATAATTCTATACCATTGAAATAAATTGTATTCGTGCAGGCTCAGCTGAGAAAATATAAACATTGAGTTATGATTGCATTCACCAGAGCAACCTTTGTGTTTCGCTAAACTTTAAACCTTGCTTCATACTGTCTTCGTTTTTCTGGTGGTTCCATGATTGATATGGATACAAATTAATAAAAAATTTCAACGGGCTTAAACAAAAGTTAGGGACAGACTGAATAAAAAAAAATAGTACACCAGGCTGTTGGTAACTGTTTACAGGAAAAGAAGAATCAGTATTTGCAAGAAATCACACGATGAAATGTAAACAAAACAATGGCTTCCCTTTTCGGGGACATGTATGGGAAAACATGATATAGAATTGTTTTTTTTTTTTTTGTTTTTTTTTTGTTACTAAGTTTATTTTGAATTTCTAAGGATACAGTAACAACAATTCCAATAACATCTTTATATAATCAATAAGCAGTCGTCTTATACTCACTACAGGTCAGGTGTAGGATAAATTCATGAAAATTTGATATATTTTTTTACCTAGACTTATCTTGTCGCCTTATACGCGGAAATATAGGTAAATCAGGAAACCTCTCACATGCAAAAATATATCACTAAATTTCCCGAAAACATAGGGGTTGTATATCCATCCATTGAAGATCATGTGGTTCATCTATACACTGTTTCGTTTTCGGGATTTCTTTGTTTTCCTTCTCTTCCCTTCTCTTGAGATCTTGGTGTGTTTCTTTCTCTTGCTCGTTCTATGTTGTAAAGGTATTCTTCTTCCATTGTCATTGTTGGACGTTTCAGAATCATCTTAGCCCTGTTGATAATCTGAAGTTGTATATTCATTTGTTTAATTCTGTGGGGACGTGTTCCTGTGTTGTTATGCAAGGTCATAGCTGGGATTGTCTATGGGAAACACTAAGTCATTCTCCTCATAATTTTGTTGGAGTCTTATTTGATCTGCACGGGTTTCTGTGATGTTAGAATTTTTTGCTGTTATGGTCATATTGCCTCTTTGCTTTATAAGATTCGTCCTGTCCAGATTCATTTTTTTTTCTTTTTCTATCAGACATTGAGATTAGTGTTTTGTGTGTCATTGATGAGCTGGTCATCATTGTTTCAGTTTACCTCGAGAGAATTTCAAACAATCTGAGGTTTTAACACTAATTGCTATCTTTTAATCATCACAGAGAACCATCTTTCCCTGACGTCAGTATGGCTGATGCTAACCTTCATGAAAGCAACTCTTTGCACCTTCTTCGTCTAACGTCTCCCACTGACATGAAATGGAGTGATTATATTGAATCAATTGCCAGAAAATTTAGTTCACTGCCAAACAATTTTTCTTATCAGAATCCACCTTGCACATTTATAAATCTACCATTCATTCATGCATTGAATATTGCTGCCATATCTGGTCTGATGCTCCTGCTATATATCTCGAGATTCTCAACAAACTCCAAAGAAAGATCTGTAATGTTATCGGTTCTGGTCTGGCATCTCGACTTCAGTCACTTTCCCACCATGGCTTCCATCTATCTTGTAAATATTTTCATGTCAATTGGTCTAAAGAGTTCTCCTCCTTGATACCCCAGCTGCGTGAATCTAAGCCTACTACTAGAGTGGCTATTAGGTCTCATCGTTTTACTATTGAACTAGCTAGACGAAACCGTAAGTTCTATTCTAATTGTTTCTTTTCTCACATTTCTCACCTGTGGAACTCTTTTCCAATTTTTTGTTTCCCTGCCACCCACGTCATCTTCTGTCTTCCTAAATTCTGTTCTTTTGTTGTGCTTTCTCCTCACTGAAATCTCATTCTTCTGCTGTATAATATAATTGTTTTGCACACGTAACATGGAGTTCTTTTATCTTTCAGTCAACCGGCTCTTGTAATGTCATGTACGAATTGTTGAGTGGAATATTACTTAAACCCTTATAAACAGATAACTTTACCTAAATTAAAATTTCAGTTTTACGACCACTACTCAATAATTACATTTCGGAAGATTTTACTGATAAGATTGGTAAGAATAAAATTAACTAATTTCAATTTTATTGCTATTAGTTAATTTATAATACTATTTTATTTTTATTTTTTTGTATCATTATTTTTATATTGTATTGGTCATGTAATGAATTGTTGCATCAACATTTGTAGCAGATGTAATAGCATTATGTTGTTTGTTCTGAAATTGACGTCTAAATAGCTTTCTTGGGAATATATTTAAGATTTTTATTGAATTTAATTACCAAGCTAAGCAGAAAGCTCCTTAGCATTATTTGTAGAGTGCACAGTTTTGCTTTGTAATTGGCGATGATGATGATAATAATAATAATAATAATAATAATGTTACAATAAGAATAAGAAGAACAGTATTTGTTTAGTTTATTTCATTACGGCTTTTCCTTTTTTTTATGGAACACTGGAGCCGCTTTAAGAACCGTTAACGCGTGACTTGATGGGCTGTCAAATTTTCTGTTTGGCTCTCTCTTTCGGTTTTATTACTTTTATTCTCATTTTTATTTCACCTCGTAATTTCATTTTTATTTGTTTTTGTTTGTGGTTTTCGCGAAAATGGTTTGTTTAAGGGTAACGCTCTCGAATTATTTGTGTTTTATATTTCGTTTCACTCCGTTCTGTCGCGTTCCGTATTTTTTAAATACTTCTTAATGTTTGTTTTGTGTCCATTGGAAAGTTCGCACAGTTCAGTCAGTTTTCCTCGAGTTTTGTTTGTTATGTCTTTGCCTTTTGCGTTTAATTTCAGGCACAGATTTTTATTATTTTTCTAAATGTTTTTTTTTCTCTCTTTCGCCTTCTTCGCATTTTACACTATTGTAGTTTGTTTTTTATTTTGCTTTCATTTAACTTTAATAATAATTCCAATTCCAATGTAATTCCAGGAGTTTAAATTGTTTTTTTTTATTCAGTTTATCTTGTTCAGTTTTATTCAGCCATATTTTTTTTTATTATATTTGAAATTTTGAATCTATTTTATTTATTCCTTCATGCCCATTTCGTTTATTATTTGAAAGGCGAAAACATTTATCAATTAGTTTCAGCAGCGTATTACTGTTGTTTTAATTTACAGTGGCTTATTCGTGAATATCATTTTAATTCCCCAGCTATTCTTATTCTTCTTTCTTTCTTTTTTCTCTTCTCCTTTATTTTTTTACCTCTTCCTTTTTAGTTTTTACTTTTTCTTTCTCTATTCTTTCTTTTACTTCTTTCTTTTTGCTCTTTCTTTCTTCTTTCTTTTACCTCTTCTTTTTTGATTTTGCACTTTCTCTCTTTTACCTCTTCCTTTTTGCTCTTTCTTTCTCTCTTTACCTCTTCCTTTTTGATTTTGCTTTTTCTCTCTTTCTTTTACCTCTTCCTGGCTTTTTTTTTACTCTTTCTCTCTCTTCTTTCTTTTTCCTCTTCCTTTTTACCCTTTCTTTCTTTCTTTCTTTTTTTTACCACTTCCCTTTTACTCTTTCTCTCTTTTTTCTTTTTCCTCTTCCTTTTTACCCTTTCTTTCTTTCTTTTTTTTACCGCTTCCCTTTTAGTTTTACTCTTTCTCTCTTTTTTTCTTTTACCGCTTCCTTTTTGCTCTTTCTTTTTCTTTCTTTTACCTCTTCCTTCTTACTCTTTCTATTTTGCGTTTTGTCCTTTTTCCTTTTAGTCTGTTCTTCTTTTTTCTCTTTTCTGTCTTATTTTCTTTCTTGTTCTTGTTGTCTTTCTTTCTTGTGTAAAAGTTTTCAGCAATCTCATAAACCAAACTAGATACAGCCTTTTAAAACATAAAGATGTCTATAATGAAAATTTATTACATAATGTTCATTTCAAGAAGTTACTGTACATCGTTAATTTTGGAAGTTGTGGGTAGGGGGGTGGGGCTTGTTTTGCATTATCATCATCTCTTATTCCTAAACCTCTGCTACAAAATATTAATTAGCTATTGAATTGACTCCAATAGGGCCAATATTTCTGTATAAAATGTGATGCAAAATACTGTACAAAATTCTACAGACACTTTATTGTAAATTTCTTATAAGCTGGCAATTGTTAGAAATTTACATGACAAAAAAAGTGGCTGTAGAATTGTGCACAGTACTGCATATGTCCTTCTTTGTTTTATTATTTTTCCCTCCTCTTTAAAGCTGTGTCAATTTGCTTTCTCTTCATCATTCATATTTAGGATCAACTAACATGAATAGCACATATAGCTCAAAGAGAAAATAATGGCATAATCATATTGATGTTCTACATTACTCAAAAAAAAAAAAAGGTCAGGAAGGGAGCTCTCATCAAAACTGGAAAGAACAGTAACAGTTTTTTTCATAACATTTTATATATTTCAGCCAAAAGATGCACTGGCTGCTTGGTCAATGAATGCCAAAGGTTTTGACATAAGGAAACAGCTAATATTGCTATTCCATTTTTTTTTTTTTTTTTGTACAAATCTGTTTTTGTTTTCCTCATTTTCCCATCCTCGGAATCATCGTTAACATTTTTTCTTACTGAATTCATTTTTATATTTCTGCTACTTTTTTTATTCCACAAACATAACTCTTTATCTGTATCCCATCTCTCTATTTCATTTTGTTAAAAATATTAATTCTCTACCTTTTAATTTCCATTCCTCACCAAATAATAATCATGTTTCATTCCCAAGCTCTAATTCTTATTAATATACTCTCTTTTTTTATTCTTCCTTTTGTACCTATCCTCTGTCTTACTATGATTTTGATATTTGCTAAACTTGCACAACTGCCTTGTCATTGGGGCTTAGAATACACAGACTGTTTCCTCAGCATAAAGGTAAAATCCCTTCCAGTAGGAGTCATCTTCTGAGTGGATACTTGCAGATTCAGGTATAAAACCAAACAGTATCTACCATTTTTAATTTTGTGTAAACGAACCTATATCTACCTTTTTTGACTCAAGTGCAAACTGGATTTGTCTACTTTCTTTGAACCTCATGCAAACTGGGTCAATGTCTACCTTTTTGACCCTTGTGCAAATTGGATCTATGTCTACCTTTTTTACTCTCGGTAAAATTGGATCTATATCTTTTTGACCCTTGTGCAAACTGGATCTGTGTCTACCTTTTTCGTTACCAGTGGAAACCAAACATATGTCTAGCTTTTTTGCTGCCAGTGCAAGCTGAACCTATGTATAATATTTCTGTCACTATTGTAAAGTGGTTCTATGCCTACCTATCTCATTCATTTAGATTTTTGTGCTGTAAGACTTATATTCAACATTACAGTAAACAAGGTTTGATATGTTGTTAAACTAACCAGACTCACCAAAGATTTTACAAGATATAAAATGACAAAAAGATTATATTTCATCAATATTCCAAATGAGAAAGATGTGCATGCCTGGATAGTCAGCTTTCAGATCAGCATCCTGATTTTCAAGGGATGCTTGAAAAGCAATATTCATTTAAGCTCAAACATTTACACATGGTAAATACTGGCAGAAAACTGCCTGCATACAGATGAAAAATGAGTTCAGTAAATATACAAAAATAGAAAGGGGTGTAAGACAAGGATGTGTCTTCTCACTGGACTTATTCATCCTATAGAGTGACACGATTGTAAGAGAATTAGAAGTCTTACCAGGATTCATTATTGGTGGCCACAATGTTAACAACATAATTTATGGAGATGACATAGTGTTAACAGAAAACTGAAAGAAAACTACAAGCACTCCTACAAAAGGTAGTGAAGGAAAGAGAGGAAAAAGAACTAAACATCAATTGGAAGAAGAAATGGGTGTTAATAAAAGGAAGAACCCACCATGCAAATTACAAATTGGAGATACCAAAATAAAACAAGTACAATTAATTTAAATATCTGGAAAGTGTTTTAATAGAAAGTGGAAAATGCGATACTGAAATCTGAAGGTGCATAGGGATAGTGAAAGGTGCCTACATAAAGCTAGGCAAGGTATTAAGAAACAGGAAAATTTTGTTAGAAACTAAGAAAAGAGTACTGAATTGTTTTGTAATACCAGCAGTTGCTGGACAATCTTGTCAAGGATGAAGAAGAGATTGGAGGCAACAGAAAGATGCTCAGAATAACATGGACCAAACATGTGAGCAAGGATGAAATTATAGAGAAAACTGAAAATAAAAGGACATTTAACATCAGGAAGAGGTAGTTGAAATTTCTATTATGCATAATAAGGTAAGAGGGCTTAGAAAATTTGATATTCACAGAAAGCAAGAGAGATAACACATAACCTACCTAGCGAACATGAATAAATGCATGGTGCTGCAAGTTTTAGGAAAGATAACAAAAAGACTAAATTTATTAAGAGCTGCAAAGGACAGAAAGTTGTGGGGGACCATGATGACTGACATCATGATGGGACATGGCACACAGAAGAAGAAGAAGAAATGTGCAACTCTCTCAACCACATAAAAACCCATATACTTTTGCCTTATTCTGAAGGTATTTCCTTTGCCAATTATTCATTTGATATATATCATACTTTTCATATGCTGATTTCATTCCTTTGCCTTATTTAGATTTCATATTCTTGTATTTCCTTTACCCACTTTCATTGGTCTTTATTTCATTCCTTTACCTTATTCTTCATTCATTCTTTTCCGTTATTCTTTATTTCTTATTTTTCCCTTCTTCATTTCATACTTTTCCCTTCTTCTTCATTTCATACTTTTCCCTTCTTCTTCATTTCATACTTTTCCCTTCTTCTTCATTTCATACTTTTCCCTTCTTCTTCATTTCATACTTTTCCCTTATTCTTTATTTCATTCCTTTACCTTATTCTTCATTCATTCTTTTCCCTTATTCTTTATTTCTTATTTTTCCCTTCTTCTTTATTTCTTATTTTTCCCTTCTTCTTTATTTCATACTTTTCCCTTCTTCATTTCATACTTTTCCCTTCTTCTTCATTTCATACTTTTCCCTTATTCTTCATTTCATACTTTTCCCTTATTCTTCATTTCGTTCCTTTACCTTATTCTTTATTTCATTCCTTTACCTTATTCTTCATTCATTCTTTTCCCTTCTTCTTTATTTCTTATTTTTCCCTTCTTCTTTATTTCATACTTTTCCCTTCTTCTTCATTTCATACTTTTCCCTTATTCTTCATTCATTCTTTTCCCTTCTTCTTCATTTCACACTTTTCCCTTCTTCTTCATTTCATTCCTTTACTTTATTCTTTATTTCTTATTTTTTCCTCCTTCTTCATTTCATTGCTTTACCTTATTCTTTATTTTCCCTTCATTTCTAAAGTTATTTCCTTTCACCCTTGATTTTAGCTTCTTCTCTTTATTAATAGCTTCCCTTTTCTTTTTCCTTGTCTACTTCCTTATTCTTAACCTTCTTATCCATATCTTCTTTATTTTTCACTCCAAATCAAACACTTTTGCACTTTGTTTCTCGTCAGTGCAATTAACATGGAAAATGAAGGGTGGGGGGAAAAACAATTTGTTTCATTAATTACATCATTTTAAGCCAGAAAACAAATTCACTGGTAAAACAAAGAAAACAGTTTTTCTCCTCTTTATTATTTTATTTTTTTTAACCAAGTTAGCTGTCTAATGGCCTTTGCTCTTGTTGCTGCTGCTACTGCTGCAAATAAATTGTAACTTATTTTCTTTTTCTTTTTTTCCTACCCAACTATTGAAACTCATTTTCTGTCCAAAACTGAAGTAACCTTAAACTTAACCCTAACCTATCACCTTGTCCCTTTCTGAATCAATGACCTTGTCCAGGTTAATGAAGAAAATCTTTTGCTATTTGTGAGATAGAAAAGTTTTATTGGAAACAAATGAAGAGAGTGCCAAAATGCTATGTAATATCAAATCTCCTATATGGCAGCAAAATGGTGGACAATCCTCTCACAAGGTGACAAGAGATTTGAAGCTACAGTGACAGTGTTCTCCTAACGAATATTGAAAATATTATGATCAGAACATGTGAAGGCTTATGGCCACATCACAGTGAAAAAAACAGTTTCTATATAATCACCAAAGTGAAGCAGCATCGAGCCTGATCAACATGACCATGTCCAGTGCCAACTGGGCCAATTTCTAACATTTTTAAGGTGATGCCAAATGATCAATGTCTATTTTTTTTTAACTATAGTGTAAAGTGAACATATGTCTATCTTTCAGACAATTCATTGAGATTTTTGTCATCCTAGAATTTTTTACAATACGATGATGCATGCTGAAATCCTCACAATATTTAGTATTGTTGAATTTATCACTAAAACATTTTGTTGAGATTTACAAAGTCTACATTTCATTTGATTTTGCAAACTAATCAATGAAATTTGAATAAGCTGATTTATTTGGAAAAATACTTTGAAAAAATCCTACTTTGTGGTTTTTACACACCCTAGTAAAACCAACTGTACTTTGTGCCTCCTTACCTGGTTGTACTTCTCTTCAAAATTTGGTTTTGATCAGTCAATTTATGGTTAATTAAAGGGTGTGACGGACAGACGGATGGATGGACAAACTAACAGAAGTTACAGAATTTTTTATATATATATGAGTTTTATAATTGGTATTAAATAAATGAACAATGTTTAAAATGTCTTTAAACTCTCTAAACTAATATCATCCATGCTAGCAAGCTTTAGAACAAGAATTAGTTTTACACACCATTTCTGGTGAAGTCATTTCTTAGCGGATGTTCCACTAAAATGGCCCTCTGCCAGATTAAATCATATGTGGTATAATATTGTGGTAGTCTACTGTAGAGTGAGAGTTTATGAGTGAGACAGAAAGTTTCTTTCCTAAGGTAGTCAGAATAACCCACGAATATATCTCCTTACCGGATATAGTAAATTTCAAGAGTTGCTACTGAAGAGCAATGGTTAGTGTGTATGTCTGACATACTCTTAACTATTATAGTGAATTCAATCCTCATTTTGTTTTTTTAAACATTTCACCCCATGCAAGACAGGAGTGCTGCTAGCACACAAGGGGTTACAGAGAGTGAAAGTAAGAAAAAAAGAGGGGTGTTTGAGGAAAGGCTAAAGAGAAGGACGGGGATCAAGATCAAAACATCAGAAGATGTTGATTGACATTACATTTAAATTTTTTGATGATTATAGTTATCAGGGAAGCAAGTAAGAGGAAGGAAGATCCACTATCAGGAAGTGTGAGAAAAGAAGCTGTTGGAGTAGAAGGAGTGCTTACATTTAACTGTTTTGACAGTAAAAAGGTGGGAACGAGATGCCAACCTACTAGTATGGTTAAATTCATGCAGTCGGGGCACCAGTGAAAATAGCATGTCAAAGCAGTTGCCATGAAAATGCTTGTAGAAATGACAGAGGGAAGCAACATCACACTTGTGAGAAAGTGACTGGAGTCAAGATGCCAGATCAGGACCTATGACATTGCATATCCATCTTTGGATTTTGTCAAGAACCTTGAGATGAACAGCAGGGGCACCAGACCATATATGGCAGCATTCTTCAATGCAAGGATGAATGGTAGATTTGTAGATTTGAAAGATGGACTCTGATAAGAAAAACCTTCTGGCGCAACACAGAGAATCAACTTTCCTTGCAGTAGATGTAGCTATTGATTAAATGTAGTTGTTTCATCTCAGGTCAGTGGAAAATATGAGACCAAGAAGATGCCCTTGTGAAGTTGAGCATCAGCTATGCTGATAGGAGGTAGGGACGCTTCTCTGTGGTGGTTAAATGTGAGCAGTTTCATTTTGGAGGCATTCAAATTTATAAGCCCTTTCCTGACTCAGTCAACCACAGATTGGAAGTCTTTCTAGAGACCAACAGCCAAGTTGACTTTGTCAGCAATGCTGGATCTACTATTAAGATAGGAGTGAATGGTAGTGTTGTCTGCATAGACGCCTACTTGAGAACTGATGACATCAGGAAGTTCTTTGAGGAAGATCAGAAACAGTTTAGGACCCAGGATAGAGCCTTGGGGAACATCAGCTTTTGTTTGAAAGGAACTGGAGGAGACCTCATTTAGGATGACCTTCATTTCATGGTTTGACAGGAATGATTGGATTAAATCAAATAATCATCCTATTATACCATATCCCTTAAGCTTCCATAGAAGGCTGGCATGCTAAACCCTATCAAATGCCTTAGATATCTCTAGGGCCATAGCTGGAGCTTCGCTGTTATTATCAAGAGCTTGGTGTACAAATTCACTTCTGACTGTAAGCATATCAGTGGTAGACTGGGCAACCGAGAGTAGATAATGGGAGGTTAGGTGCTTAACCACTTCTGTATTGATTAAGGCCTTGAAGACTTTGCCGAAGAGTGGTAGGAGAATGATAGGATGGTAGTTAGATGATGAAACTCCACGTCTGTGAGCCAGGAATAAAAATAATGTCCAATACTTGCATAAAGCCATGTGAAAAAGAATATCATTTCCTGTCTTACTAGTATGTATCTCTTTGAATTTAATTCTTTAATCATTTTATTTACCTGTTCCTTTTTTTTACTTGGTACTAATTTTTCCTTTATTTAAAAAAAAAATTTTTTAAACTGAAGTGAATTTATTCTAACCACCATTTTGAAAATTTTGTTTGAATATTAAATCTTTGATTTTTTTTTTTTTCTGACTCATGCAAGTATTGGATGTTAGGTTTATTCCTGCCTCACAAATGTGGAGTTTCTTCTTCCACGGGAAGTTCAAGTTGACACATGGTGATCTTAGCACTGCCCTTCTCCCTCGGTCTTGGCATTTAAATTCACCATAATAGCCATTACCAGCCAAACATAAAAAAAATCATCACTCCTTGTTTAATTTTCATCTATGAAGCCACATGAAAAAGAATATTGTTACTTATATACCTCTCTTTGAATTTCATTCTTTAATCATTTTATTTACCTATTCCTAATTGCTCGATAAAAGCCAAGAAAATAAAGAAAAAACAAAAATTTTTTTTTTCTTTTTGCCTTTTACTTTACTTGAATTGCAAAGTCGCCATTTTGAAAAGTTTAAAAGAGTGTTGGTTACCCAAGCATCTCACTGAAGTCCGTCCCCCACCAAGTGTCTTTGTCTCCGTTTACTCCTCACATCCTCCCATCTCTCTAACCCATTCAACCCAGTACATTTGGTCCCTGAAATTGAGATGTATTTAGAGTCTGCCACAGTTTTCACTAAATGACTATTGATTTGAGGTTAGCAAGATTATGGTACAAGTTGAACTTTGTGAAGGACTTGGAAAATCTTAACAAATGTTAACATTATTACACTTTCTGCACATCAGTAGCAAGAGCCACTCTTGTTAGCAAGTTTGTTTCTCACTTGGTGTTCTACTGTTATGGCTTTATGCCAGAATAAACTATAGTTAGTAAGATCCATCTATTTTTGTCCTATAAATATCAAACAGTTGTTTGACAGGACATATATTGCTAATACTGAACGCTCTTTTAGAACAATTGGCTTTATTTTGCATGTCTACTAATTGTTTTTATTAATATTTCTTTTTTTAATAATTTCACCTCAAGCAAGGCAATAAAGCTACTACAACACCAGTTACTGAGTGTCAGAGAATATGAAAAAAAAAAAATCCACCAGCTATGGGTTAGTCGAATAGAGCTTCTTTTTTTATCATTCCACCCCAATCAAGGCAATAAAGCCACTAAAATGCAAGGGGTTACTGAATATGAAAGAATATGAGAAAAATTAATTATTCAGGAGAGAGAACAATAAAAGAACAAGAATTAAGACAGAAGATAATTATTCCTATTGCATTTAAATTTTTGAAAAGTTGACTGGGAAGCAAGAAAATGCAAAAAAAGTGAGAAGCGCAAGAGAAGAAATTGTTATCATAGAACTTACGGTTATATATTAGGGTGCTTAATTTAACAACACAGCAACCCTTATCATTTTATTTAATGTTGAATATAAGTCTTACAGGACAAAAGTCATAATGAATTGTTGTAATGTTAGCCCTTCTACATTAATCACCATCAAGGACATCTCCATGAATGTTCTCCATAATTAAAAAGGTTTTCTTACTTTCATGCCTAGAAAGTAGAATTTAAGTAGGAAAATTCAAGTAGCATTTATAAAACTTAATAATTTTTTAGGTGGAGAAGGTAAACGTTGGCAACTATTTTTTTTTCTTTTTAATCATTTCACTCCAAGCAAAGTAAAAAAGCAACTAAGATGCAGGAGGATTATTGAGTGTAAAAGAATATAAAAAAAAGAACAACATTATTAAGGAGTGAGAATAATAAAAGAACAGAAATTAAGACGATAGAAAATAACAATTGAAATTCCATTTAAATTTTTTAAGAACAGAGTTAACTGCAAAACAAGAAGCTGGGAGAGAATTCCACAATTGAGAAGTGTGAGAAAAGAAACTGTTAGCATTGAATTTTGGCTTTCATCTCAACTGTAAAATTTATGAAACCATGTTGCCAGTAAAATCAAGGCACCAAAGTGGGAAGTTAATCAGAACAATTATCATGAAAATATTTATAGAAAAGGCACAGTAAAGCTATATTATGGCAGTGGATAAGTGACTGAAGTTGAGATGCCAGGTCAAGACCAATAACATCTAGGATTTTTCATTGGATTTTATCAATGTTCTCTAAATATATAGCAAGAGCACCATACCAAATATGGCAGCAATATTCAATGCATGGACAAATGGTAGACTTATAAATGTGTAATATAGATTCTGGTATGAAAAATTGTCTAGCATGACAGTGAACCAACTTTCCTATTAGCAGACCTAGCAATTATAATCTTTCCACTTCATGTCAGCAGAAAACTCTAGCCTAAGAAGACACAATGTGTTGCTCTCCTGGAGGTTAGCATCAGCCATGCTGATGGAAGGTAAAAATGTTCTCTAAGACAAAAAAGAGCAGTTTATTTTTGGAGGCATTAAAATTAATATACCAATTTGACCTTATCAAACTGATCAGACTAGTTGTGTCATCAGCATAGATACTAAGTTGAGAACTGATGATACTAGGAAGGTTGTTGCTAAAAATTAGGAAAAATGTATGTCCAAGTATATAGCCCTGCAGACACCTGCATTAATGTGAAAAGATCTAGAAGAGTTGCCATTCAAGACTTCTTTCATTACGTGATTTGACTACAAAAATTGAATGTCGAAAAATTTGTCCAGAATTACCACAGCCTTTCAATTTGTGAAGAAGAAAAATATGCCAAACCCAGTCAAATGGCTTCAAGATATCTTAAAGCAACATCCCACCATTCTTATCTAAAGCTGAACAGACTCTTTCAGCAGTAACTGTTAACACATCAAAAGATGACCCAGAGAAGTGAAAGCCATATTGCTTGTTTGAAAGAAGATCTTGCTAGATGAGATGCTTAACCAATTGTAGAGGGGCTTATTTTCCATGAAAATGCAAAAATGGAATGGCCTACTTGAAATGGAAATCACAATTTTGAAATGGAAATTTTTTTAACAATCAGATTTGCTGTTTCAATTTATTATTTGTCTTTCCTAATTCACTCTTGTCCAACAGACATCAAAGGATAAAGTTGGGAATGTTTTAATACATCCCTTTTACCTACAACTTCCCTGCAGTTTACAGTGTAAACTGTAGGGAGACTATAGGAAGATGGTAAACTTTACAGTATTTAGGGACCAAGTTTTATGAAATTGGCTTGATTTAATAAAAAAAATATGGGGTGTCAGTGGCAGGAGGAAACAAAAATTTCTTCTTTTTGCTTTATCCCTTCTTTTTCCTGATGACGATGGCAGTTTATCATTTCAGACAGTCAAAATTTACAAATTAGTCTTTTTTTAAAAAATTTTATTTGATAATTTCAATAAAGTGGCCAAACAATAATGTAGCTTTTTTATGAGATGACTTTGTGGTGCTACTTTTATGTAGGTTTTGCCACTTTCATTTAATTCTTATTTAGGAATAGCTTAAAAGCCGCCCTAATGTGCAGCATTTAAGCTAGCTCCTGTGCAAGGCTCTTGATTTGGCCTTTGGCTTGTTCAGGAGTTTGAGACTCCCTAAGCTTTCTTTTCCTCACTGCAGCCTTGGCTCTTTTGATTGCAATCTGTTCCTCCATTGGCGGAGATTTCTTTTTGCAAGGCATACTGCTCCATATGCAATAGACCACAATAAACTACAGAACTCAAAATTGATTGCATTTATGTATTACATTAATATCTAAGCTTGCCTTTTAAAACTTCAATGATAATTCTTCTGCTGCCATTTAATTTAAAGACAATTTGACATATGTAGGTCCTTATTTTCTGTACAATTATTTTTTATTTCATGGGCAACTTATGATGGATTTTGTGGTTAATTTTGATTATTCCCAAATTTATTTCTGAGTTATAAAAATTGTTATTGTACAAGAAAAATTGTCACAAAAAATCACATAAAAAAATAGCCAAAAACAATCGCAATAATGAAAACTTGGAAATCCAAAATTTCAGGACTGTGGGTATGGATCTGGCCCAGAATATTTTTAATTTACTCACAGAGTTGGCGTGATACCAAAATGGTATATATTGGGCTATGGTGTCTTGGAGTAAAGTTGAAAAAGTGTGATACACTGACCTTCACATTTATTTATATAGATTGTAGCATTCTTTGCAAGGATTGTCCTAGAAACTCAAATTAGAGGAAGGGAAAAAGTATGAAGTACGAAAACCTATCAAGCTGGAGCAACTTCTCCAATTCCAGCTTGTAAAATTTTCACTCTCCTTTTATTTTCTTGTTTTAATAACATTTTTATATCGTTACACTTTCTCACAAAGTATTATAATGAAGCAAAAAAATCTATACTGAAAATGGAAAAAAAATGGAATTCCCTAAAACCTGAAATGGAATTAAGAAAAATTTGAAACAGAAAATCAGTTCCTCTTCAGTTGTGAGTTAAACAATTCTGGCAAAAAAAAAAAATAGAAATGACCAAACTGTACTTGAGTTTGACCATTTAGCAAAGTTATTTAACCTTGTGAAGAAGGCTTTAAAAGCAAGAGTAACAGTGATGTGTAGGGAGTATTATGTTATCAGTGTGGAAAGTGGAATGAGCAAGCCAAGTTCAAATTCCAGCCCAATCTGTTTCATTTACTTCATATTATTACTTTTGGGAAAAATCATGAATCTATTTTTACTCCCACTCCACAAACTATTGATTAAAAAGCAGGGAAACTTGTGCTCTTGAATCTTGGGTAGCAGCCTGTTTAGGTGATAGACAACTCTAAATTCAAAACCATTCAGAAGGCAACAGCAAAACCACACACTATCACTATTTACATTATTTGGACTATTGTCCTCGTTGCCGTATTTATCATGTTTCGGCCGTAGTATGCTCTGGACTTCTTCAGGTGGTTGGAGTCTTTATCCACTGTGCCATATGTCCTTAAGGACACATGACACAGTGGATAAAGGCATTGGTTAGATCCAGTGACAGGACCTAAAGAGTTTTGAGTTCAATACCTGGTTAAGGCAGTAGAGAACTTAGAGAGGAGAATTAAAAGAAGATAACTGATAAATGACATCCATTAGACATGGCATGTGGAACTAGAACAGTCTGCCCCAGTTAGTGAAATAGAGAGTTCAGTTCGACATTTCAACCATCTGAAGAATGCCTGAGCGCACTACGACCAAAATGTGATAAATATGGCAACAAAATGAGGACAATAGTCAGAATTATGTAAATAGTGTACATAATACCTCATCTCAGAAATATAAGCACAACTTTCTTTGAAAGAAAAGTGGTAAAAAATGAAAGTGACCAGGTCAGCCATGTGTACTTATCTCAATGTCTATTGCCATGTCAGATTGGTGTATGAAAGCCTAAGAAAATCAACTTTGGATCTTGTGAATAAAGTAACTAAAAAAGTGTGTGTGATGAATGTTTCAACAGCAGTAATCAAACGTTCCCAGAAGAAAATAAACTTCCACAGCCCATGCCTGTAGGAAATTGCTATTGGATTCAGAGAATAAAGATAAAATTTTAAAATTCTGTGGCAGTATTCTGTGCTTAGAAGATGATGTAGGATAACAGATATTGGTGCAGGACATGGAATCTGCTAAATGGGTTCACATTCCAGGTTTGTCTGTTGTTAAAAGTCTTCATCTGTCTCTTCTCCCCATCACTGTACCAGATCTTGATTAAATAGCAAGGGAAAATGTTTTTTTTTTTTTTTTTTTAACTATGAATAGTAACCAGTGTAAGAGAAGAAAAGCTCTAAATGCCAAACTGTGGTGGAGTCAACAGGAAAACACACCACTATCTTTCCCAAGAAGTTATGGCAATTCACAAAATAAAGAAAATAGATTTTTGGACAGTCACAATTGACTATATTCTGAAAGGATATGGCATTTAAAAAAATTGTAATTCTTATTTTTATTTGTTTGTCTGTTCTCTACTACCACAGCCAGTTTAGGAGAATGAATACTCAGAAAACAAATGAATGTCTATGTCCTGAAGCTAGTCGAGGAGAAGGACTACTCAGAAGTCAAAATTGTAGAGAAGGCAACAGGAAACCACTCCACTATCTTTACCCAAAAAATCGTGGCAATTCACAGATAATAAAGAAAACAAATGTGAAAAGTCATGAACATCTGTGTCCTGAAGTTTATCTGGACAACTCTGAATTCAAGATTGTGTATAATGGAATGGGAACTCATTCCACTCTTTTTCTTAACAATTCATAGATGATAAAGAAACAGAATCAGTAAAGAACTATTATTGTCTACATTCTGAAAGAACATGGCATTTAAAAAAACGTCATTTTATGAGATTTTTTTTATTATCTTTATTAAGGTAGTATAAGTATTTTTATCAGGTAGTATTTAGCAATAATCTTTCATGCATCCCAAGTTCTATGTTCGTAATTTTCCAGTAAGACGCCAGTAAATATTAGAATTAATGCCTTCAAGACACAGAAACCATACAAGCAAAAGAGCCAAGTTTCTGTCTCCTCTGTTGGATTAAGTCTTTTACTTGTCCATCTGACCAGCACAGACATGGTTTTTGCCAGGGGGGAATTACAGAGTCGAAGTCATGAGATCAAAGTTGTGAACCATATGAGTGAAGTAGTCGGACGTGTTACAAACGTTATGTCCAGGCCACAAAGAGATTAATGTACAGCTGTGTGTATTGACTAAAGATTTGTACAGCTAAGGAGGTGGTAAAATATGATTTTGAATGATTTTACAAACATCTTTATGTCCATCTCATTCTCATATTCAGTTATTTTTCAACATTCTAATTTCTTCATTTATGGGTCATAGTGAAATCTTCTCCATTTAGTTGATGTATGCTGTGTTTGCCTTATAGAATATTGTAGATAAGGTTAAGGTTTCCACATAATGGCTTATGGTCAAATGACGCTGAAAACACCAGTTCTCGTTCGATCACTGAAGTGAAGCAGTGTCAGGCCCATTTAGTACTAAATGAGGGATCACTTAGGAACACTGAGTACTGTAAACAACCTTCTATAATACAAAATATGTTTCAGCTTTAAATAACCTAAAAAACATATCAATCAACATTTCATTGATAATGTTGCTTTTATTGTATTTTTTTAAGTTCTATATATTTATTTTCTTATTAACTCTACTTTTTGTTAGATTACCTACAATATAATATTTTTTATTATACCATATCGAAGATATTATATACAAATCGACAAAGTTTAACAAACATAATCATAAAAAAGAAAAATGGTGTTGAAAGGGCACATTTTCTCTTGACACTGCTATTACTGTACAGGATGCGATGGATAAATTGTCATCTGAATTATGCAAAAATGAAAATGTCACTGACATCTCATTTTAACAGATATTTTTACCAAAATTATATAAAAATATCTTGAAATAATAAAGAGTAAGTTTATTCAATAAAATCGCCATTGGCTTCAACCACGGCCTCCAAGCGACTTCAGAATCTTCTGCAACTCTTCTGGACAGTCTTCTTGTTTAAGTTGGTGAATGCTGCCATAATCTTTGTCTTCAGTTTATCTTTGGTTTTACAAGGAGTTTTATTGGTCTCTTGCTCAACCACACCCCATACATAATAATCAAAGGCTTGCAGTCTGGGGAGTTAGGTGATGTGGCTGCAGAAATTGACAGCCATGACTAGGTTCTGCTACTTGTATGGTATGGTGCAGACTCCAGACATATGGTCTTCCAGCAGCCACCCTCTTGACCCATGGCAGCACTACCTCCTCAAGGCGATTGATGTAGGCTTCCATGTTGAGTTTGAGGCCCTTTTGGAAAGACGAATGGAGGCGTAACATTGCCAACATTAGTGATCACTCCAAACACCTTCATAATTACCATTAAACTCATCCGAATCCTCTGCACTGTCCTCAGATTGACTCCCAAACACTCTGAAATGTTCATACTGGAGCTTCCTGCACAAATGCCAAGCAGTTCAGCATGTCATTTCCAAATTTTTGGTGGAGTGAATTTTATCATGGTGCTCTTTTTCTCACAGATGGTGCCCAGCTGACCCTACTATACTGTGCAGTCAACAAAATCAAAAACAATGCACATGCACACAATTAAAAATATAAAATGTCAACAATTTACCCATTACACCCTGTGTATTCACTCAGCAATTTTTTAAAACTACAAGTATTCTGTAATATAAAAATTATCTGATAAGAAAATGTATAATGTCTAGAAAATACATTTTATCTAAATATATAATTACAATTATTGTTTATTTACATTTTCTTGTTCACATTCATTTTGAGATATATATGAATAAAAAAAAATTGATTTCAGAAGTTATTTCTTTATAATAAGATAAATAATAAATATTGCATTTCAGTTGGTTCACAAATTTTTATAATCTTGTGAATAAAAAAACCTAATAAATAAATAGTGTTTAATATTTTTGTTGCCAATTATCATATGTTTGGCTTATTATTAAAACTCTAAAAATAGCTTTTTAAAACAATAAAAATTACTGAGGCCTCTGTTCTTCTCTCACCCTTTGCTTGCATCTTCCCATTCTCTCCCTTATTCCTTCCAGTATAAGATTATCCACTATCTCAAACTTCTATGTTTCTCTCACTCTTTGTCTGTTTCTTTTTATTATCTCCCTTGTCCTTTCCGATAAAACTAAGATTATTATTCATCATCTCAGACCTCTGTTCTTTTCTCACCCATTGCCTGTATTATTTGACCTTATCTCTTCCAATACAACTAAGATCATCCATTATCTCATGATCATTCTTCTCTAAAACTTTGCTTGTATCTTCTCATTCTCTGCCTTACCCTTTTTTAAAAAATTGTTCATACATACTCATGTATGGGTTAAATAACAGGGTAAACTGGGTTCTCTAGCCTTAATTAGCAACCAGTTTAAGACAGGGAAAACTCTAAATTGCAAAATCATGGAGAATGCAAAAATAAACCATGATACTATCTTTTGCAAGAAGTCATGCCAATTCACAGATAATAAAGGAAAGTAATATTTGGAGTCATGAATGCCTATGTCTTGAAGCCAATTTGAGAGAAGGAAAAGTCTAAATTCAAAATCACGGAGAAGTCAATGTGAAACCATTCCATTATCAATCCTAAGAAGTCATGACAATTCAGAAATGATGCAGAAAAGGAAGATGTGGTGAGCCATGGTCACCACTGCCATAAGGGGACATATCAATTTAAAAATATATAATATTTTATGTCTGCAATTATTCAATGGTTCTAGCACCTCTAAAGGTTTTCAAGCACTGGTGGTTGCGTTTTAATGCATCATAATCAATCACTGATGGTCATTCACATTTGGGTGCTTTATTTCAGTGAGCAAATAATCATTCTCAAAATGCTTAAAGTCATTTTGGGCTCTATGGTGAAATATTGTTCTTTCCATTTTAAAGAATTCTACAAGTAGTTCCAATGATCCTGATGTCCGATTTAAACTAAAATCTCAAAATTGCCCAAATCTTAATACTTGTATCCACCTTTGTAATATCACAAACAAATGGTACAGCAAACTGTTATTAATAATGATTGTTTGGTATCAATGAAGTATTTCATTTAGGACTATTTTGTTATTTTAAATGTGGATTCTCTATCATAGGCACATAAGGCTGTTAGGTATCCGTTAATGCTGTGTTATAAAAATACTAAATATTGATATATCTTGCCACATTTCAGACTATGTTGTCTTTTAATGAATTTAAATGTGCAGGTAGAAAGAGCTGCATTCTCGCATTCTACTAGTTCAAACCTAATCTTTCAATGAATTTAAATGTGCAGGTAGAAAGAGAGATTATATTGACTCAGCTATTACTATAACAAATGTTCATATGAGCTGCATTCCCGCATTCCACCAGTTCAGACCTTCACAACTAATACCCATCATGCCATGTACACAGTATCAAATCATTCTCATTCATTTTGGTAAGAAGTAAATTTCAAACAGACTTCTTAGAGGATGCTTCCCCGATCACTACAATATTAATCTCTTTAAGTCTAGAGTCAAGTGATATCTATCCTATGCACCAACCTCTCCCATCACCCTGGCTTACACCCTTAGAACAATTTCACTCAGTAAACCTCTACCTTGAGTGGTTCTTCTGCTTTGTATTGGATGAACTAAAATTTTTAAAAAATTCAGTTTGTGATCATTCTATGATTCACTTACAGAGTAAAGAAACAGAACAAAAAAACAAACTTAGAACAAAGAAATTTCTTATCAAATGTCTCGTCAAAAATCCCAAGACAATTATTTCCACTGATTTAATTATCAACACATATTGTCTTGAATCATTATCATTTCTCTGTCAAAGTAAGATTTGAGACAAAGAAATTTATCAAGAGATAAAGAGATCTTGTCAACCAGACTAGGAAATTGTGGTTTTCAATGATGTCATTACCATCTAAGAACTGTCTTGAATCATTTTCCCATGCACTGCTAAAACGAAGTAACTTTTTTTTGTTTTTTTTTTAGAAAAGATTTCTCAACAAACTCTCTTAAGTGTTTTAGGATGAACAAAAAACAAACAAACAAATGTTTTATCATTTGAATGAAACAAAAATGTTGATATCAGAAAGCTGATAGAACATGAGGAACTGCATAAGCAATTGTTGTGCCTAGGTGTGCACAACACATAGATGCCTAGCCAGGTAAGTGGTTAGAACATTTAGTTTCTAACTATGAGACCCAGGTTCGAATCTCACCATGGTTGATTTGTCAGGCTGATAATTTCTTGATGTCATTGTCCAGGAGAGACAATCTCAGCATGTAGTACCATTGAAAAGTCCCTGAAAACAATACCACATATTGACAGAACTGTTTGCAAGTCAGTGATGGTTGTGCTAGCACTAATTTGCAAGTCATCGTGACTGAGGTTTTGAGCATACTGGCTTGTTCAAACTGCTGCTCACAACAGATTATGGGCTCTCACCCAGAAACTATAACTATAGTTTGTTCAAGATAATTGCAGTGATTAGCTAGCTGCTCTAGCAGATGGCTGTGTTCAGAAATGAGAAGCTGGTCATTCATATACATGAAACAATATTGTCAAAATATAACACTCATGTATGATGCCTAGAATTTGACTGAATTCTGATTCAAAATTTATTTTATTATATCCAAGTGTGTTGCCATGTTTTAAGGAGGGTATCTGGAAAGCATTTTAGGAGTAGACATAAAGTCAAAAGCGCATTGGAATAGCAAAATATGCCTTCCAAAAGCTAAACAAAGTATTAAGAAACAGCAAAATTTCATTAAAAATAAAGAAAAGAATACTGAACTGTTATGCAATATCAGTACTACAGGGAATGCTGGACAATCTCCTCACAGATGAAAAAGAGGCTTGAAGCAACAGAAATATGTTTCTACTGATAGATGCTGAGAATACCATGGACTGAACATGTGAGCAATGATGAAGTTTTAGAAAAGATGGAAACAAAAGGGACATTTATATTTAACATAAAGAAGAGACAGTTGAAATTTCTAGTGTATATAATGAGGAAAGAGGGCTTAGAAAATTTGATACTCACAGGACAGATTGAAAGCAAGAGGGATAGAGGAAAACAACAAATAGCCTACCTAGCAAACTTAAATAATTGGTTGATGGAGCAAGGTTTAGGAGAGATAACAAAAAGACACAATTTATTAAGAGCTGCAAAGGACAGGAAATTGTGGAAAGTCATGATTGCCAACATCCTGTAGGGACATGGTTCATAGAAGAAGAAGAACTACTTTGTCAAAACACGAATATCAGAATCTAATTTTCTCTTTGTGCCTTCTCTTTTCATAGTAAGCCTCAGCTGATAAATAAACAGAAAAAGAATAATTCAAATAACGGCTTTTATCACAAAATAATTATGATGTCAAAAGGAAAATAAAAAATAAAACCTTTAAAACAGAATCACAGAAAAAAAGCAAAGGATGACAACATTCTCTCAGTCTTTTTTGTATTGGGAAATTAAAAGTCTTTTGGAGGAATGAATGCAAAATGGAGGCTGGAATAAAATGAAAAGACAGAAAATAAATAAAAATATTCAATCTGAGAAACGCAGATTTGTGTGGGGAAAAATGACGGTTGGAAAGAAACTGGGAAAGAGGCTATTGACCCAGAAGGTGAAAAAAAAATGTTTTTTCTGCAATGAAGAATACTGGACCATGTCACGTATCTGAGGATGTAATGAACTTGGTTGTCCAACAGAAAGGTAAAAAAGAAAATAAGAAAATATACAAATTTATTAAATTGGACTTTTGATTTAAAGGACCTCAATTTAACAGATTTTACTCACACATAAATGTTTTTGTGCTTTCTCATAGGACCACACATACACACATACATGTACATTGTATTAAACTTACTAAATTTACTGTCTTGGGTATGACGATAAACTGCATCTGCGTCCTGGGTAAGACAATAATAATCTGATCAGGAAGTTTTGAGGAGCGTGGAACCACCTCTTAATTGCTGGTGTTCCCAGGTCCACCTTGACCTGGGGTAGTAGCACCTGTTAGGGTCCCAGCTATGGGCAAATAGTTGACCCCACAACCTGACTCAAAATACTATGAAAGTGTAAAAATAGATTTTAATACCAGAAATACTTTTAAAAAATTAGTATCAGCAATAAAAATTTGAAAAAAGAAAATATTTCCAGAAATAAAAATCTTGTCAGCATTAAATAACCCATTGAGGTTAATATGCCACAAAACAAAACAAAAACCAAACTATACATTTTTGAAAAAAAAAGGAAATTTTGTCAGCATTAAATAACCCGTTGTGGTTGATATGCCGTAAAACAAAACAAACTTACTAAATTTATGTGGGATTCATGCTCAGTATCAGAGATAGTGCATTTATAGATATTGAGAGTGCAGTGATAGGAATCAACACTGCATTGTGAGTGTTGCTTTCATGCCTTATCATCTGAAGATCTTTTGAGGCATGAAACTAATAGTCACTATATAGTGTTGATTCCTATGATATTTCGCACTCTCTCCATCATGTTTCTCCTTATCTATCTATCTATATATATATATAATAAATTAATTGATTTAAAATATGTTTTTTTTTCGCTACACAGTTCCAACCATATTTCAAAAATGGAAGCTAAAAGTTTCGAATTTAATTTTGTAATTAAAATGATAAATCATTATGATTTTTTTGCTGTGCCTTTAAAACCCAGTAATTTTAAAAGTTACTCAAAAATTTGCTTGAGGATGAAATGGAACTAATGTCTTTAATTTAATTACAAAATTAAATTCAAAGCGTTTAGCTTCCATTTTTGAAATATGGTTAGAACTGTGTAGCGAAGAAAACCATATTTTAAATCAATTAATTTATAATATTAATGCTCTGTAAATTTACATTGAGCACTATTTTGTCAAAATAAAAAATATCTATCAGAACACCAGATTATATATCTTACTGTTCTTTCTTTTTATTTATATATATATATATATACACTAGCAGAAGTACTCGGCATTGCCTGGGACAAAATTATTGAAATGATTTCTAACTTCGTTATATTCCTGGAATATATTATTTAGAAACTATCTCATACAACTTAACAAACATCTAGAATAACATAGAAATAAAAATAACAAATCATATTTTAAAGTATCAGACTTTTACAAAAGTATTTTTCTGTATACAATATTCTTAGTTTTTTGAGTGGGTGCATAAATGTAAAGATTTCTTTTGCTTCCAACTCTGGAACATCCAACATATGGTTGACCATGTGAAAAACAGGGATCTTTTAAGTGTAATCCAGCCTCTGAGAGTGTTTGACCTTGTGATTTGATTGGAAATTGCAATTTCTTAAAATTGTATGGACATCTGTAGGGATCAAGGGAATTCTTGGCATAGAGACATCACTTTCTCTCCCACAACCAGAAAGAATTGTTGCTTCAATAACATGAGGCATCATTCTTTTCACTATAAGTCTTGTGCCGTTGCAGAGTTTTGGAGGATCAAGATTTCATAGTAGCATTATTGGAGAGCCAATTTTCAGATCTAGTCTATATCCTGGTAATCCAGATAACTCAAGAGAATTAAGGAATTCTGGTGGATAATTGACTGCATCCAACTGGTTAATAACAGTATCAACGGATTTGTAGGAGTGACAGTTTCCAGGAATCATTTTCAAAAGTTCAAAATTAATTGAATTGACTGTGGTATTGTTAGTGCTAGAATGGCTCTCTCAAACAATGATTTACCATTTTGATAATGAGTACTGATTATTTAGAAAGACTTTGGCAATCAACTCCAAAGTTGATGGCACTAAAGTACATATGCTTGATGGATGAATGAATCTTTCACTGTCTCCCTTCTCCCAGAGTTAGCAAGTTTTCAGCAAATTAATTTGATGTTATATCTCCATACAGGTATGCTCTCATATTAATTGTCAATTTTAGGATCTTTGCATATCTCCATAACAGAGATGATTTTAATGAAACTCAAATTTCTTCTGCTCTAGTATCTTTTAGAATGACAAGGAGGATTTGTCTAAAGTCACCAGAGGGAAGCACAGGTATTCCATCCATCAGAGAAGCAGTGTTCCTAATGTCTCTTAGTGTTCTAGCCAAAGCTTCAAAAGCTCTCTTATAGTTCATAGTGCATTCATCCCAAACAATCAACCTTTTGATAACTTGTGCAATTCCAGAATTCTTTGATATATTGCACATAGGATTTTCATTCTTCTTGAGGTACAGTGGAAGTTTGAATATTGAATGAGCTGTCCTACCCACCAGGTAATAGTTTAGCAGCAATCCCTGATGAAGTGCAATACATTTTTTACTTGTTACCTTGGCCAGTATGAAGATGGTAACAAATGTTTTTTCTTGTCCCACCAGGTGCATTTAGGAAGAATATTCACCCTTTCTGGCATCTAACAACGTCTATAATTGTATTATAAGCTATTTTCTGTCTCATTTTCTTCTATATAGCTCACCAATGATGATATATGCAGCTTACCAATGATGATATATGCAGTTTCTCGGACCAATTCTCTTGTTGGCTCATTCTCATTTCCTCTTACTGTCTTTGAAAGACTATAAGTATAGAGATCAGTTCTTCCGATGGCTATAATTCTATTCTCAATGTCGATCAATGGTTTATTTTACAGTTCATCATTGTAAGAAACCTCAATACCCGGTAACTGCACTTGTAATTGGTGTTTGTTAATCTTCATCTAAGGTGTCCTTGTGTTTACCCCAAAGCCCTAATGGATCACCTATTTCACAACATTTAATGAAGAGCTCTAAGACTTCTTACCCTCAGATACAGAGGCTTCTGTTAAAATAGAATCCCATTATGCATCAACATCCAACAGACAACATTTGAAGCAAACTTCTCTATATTTTGAGCACACTGTTCCATCAACTGTACAGATATCTTCCAATGAAATAGGACCTTTGACAGCATGCAACAGCATCCTGAGAAAGAAACATTCTTGTTGGTTGGGACTTACAGTATACACTCTTCTAAGTGCAATATCAAATTTAACGTCTGAAAATCCATCTACTGGTTCACTCCTTTTTCATCTGTTCCAGCTGTCATTTTACCAAATGTAATATGATGGAAGCTGATAATGACAGATTGTCTTAGCACAGGGATCTCTTGCACAAAGCTTAAAGAAAGCTGTAAGTGCAGTCTCACTTGGAGTTAAGATTTGATGAGCTGTATTTGCCTTAAACAAGTAAACTCTTTGTCCATTTTCTAAATGAACATATAGTGGCTCAACTGTTGGATATTGCTTATGAATGGGAAATCTAAACTGCTTCATCACTGCTAATGTATTGACCTTGCTGGCACATGCTTATTTTATCTCTTTGGCTTATTGTTTGTTTTTTGTCTATTTTCACTCGCATTGTTTCTTGTAAATCAAACACTGCTACAGCTGACCCTTTGTTGACATATTTGCAGACATATATAATTAACTTTACTGAGTTACAGAACTCAACATTGATGTGAACATCAAAAGTTTTCAAGCGTTGGGGACTGTATGGAACTATCGCACCAGGCCCCCTTCCCCCAGATATTAATAAACTAAAACTTAATCTAGGTCCAAACCTATTTCCTCGTGAAAGTTTGATCAAAATTCATCCAGTAGATTTGATTTCCATAAAGGACATATGTACAAGCTCCTTTATAGTATATCTATCTATCTATCTATCTATCTATCTATCTATCTATCTATCTATCGGATTAGTATGAGTTACTTAGCTGATTAATGTTACCTTCAGCATCCCAACTCCAGAGTTTCGTTGACGTTCACTTTTCCGGGGTTATTTGGGCAGCAATTACTCTATTATACAAGTTTTTGTTAAAAATAACTGATAAAGAACTGTGGTTAAGTTTTTTATTTATTTTTTCCCGTGTTCTTATAATTTTTCTTTTCTTTTCTGGACATAAAATATATAGAAATTGGCCGAATGTTCTGTTTATCCGAGCGCTTTCGGCTGTAATTTTAGATGTTTTCAGGGATCAGCTTCATCGTGGCTGTGTTTGGAAAATAAACTCTAGATACATACATAAAAAATGCATACATTCAGTTAAAAATATAAGTAAAATCATCCTTAATAATTGCTAAAAGTATAGCCGAAAGTGCTTGGACATACAGATCATTCAGACAATTTCTACATAAAAGAACAAAATTATAAGAACACAAGAAAAATTAAATAAAAAAACTTAATTGTATTTCCTTGTCCATCATTTTTATTTATCTGAAGAAGTTCTTTTGAGGGACAAAATGTGTAACATAGGAGTTTTTCTATTTTGTTATTCTGTTAGTCTGATATATATATATATATATATATATATATATATATGACAATAGGAAAACTAGTAATTGCTGACGCGTTTCGTCCAATGTAGACTTTATCAAAGCAAAATACGAAATGAAGTTAATTGAACAAGGTAACTATTAAAAACAAAAACAGAATGTTTCAAGCAACTGGAATGTAGAGAAACGCTATTTTCATATTGTCAACTGAAAATAACGTCAGTATTTGTCACATGTGGAGAATATTGTCATTATATCTGTGTTGATGTATTCAACCATTTTCTTTTGATTTTATGAATCTGTTGTGTATCGGAGAAATTTTCATATATATATATATATATGAGTATAATTGTCCACTCATATTCGAGGATACCTCTCTACTAGGGCGGCTAGCCAATCCCGATTGCAGACACTTGCTCAGGCAAATTTGTGTTTGTTTGACACCCACAGAGCCCACCAGTAGTTTATACTGCAACTACGCTGAGCAGACCTTAGTTACAGTTTCTGGGAAAGAGCGTGTTATCTTGTGTGATCAACAATTTGAACAAGGCCAGCATGCTCAAACCCTCGGCCACGATGACTTGTGACTTCGTGCTAGCACAGCTATCAACGGCACCCCTGGGTTCCGTCTACCCAGTTTCACTCACAAGGCTTGGGTCAAAGGTGCTGCACGCTGGGATTGACCCTCCAGTTCGATAGCATCAGGAAGTCTCCTTCCTGACAAATCGACCATGGTGAGATTCGAACACGGGTCTCTGTCAGAATGCGAACGTTCCAACCACTTGGAGGAGTCAATATATATATATATATATATGCAGCATGTTTTCTTTTATGCAGGTATTGTTGAATATAGCAGACAATGAAAGGCGGCTACGTTTTTTAACCAATTTTTCTTGGTTTCCAACCAAACGATTTACATTAGATAAAATTCTGGAATAAACAGTTTATAATTGAATTGGGAGTTTACTAAGGTCCCAGTACTTTCTACCGTTCCATTGGTCATCATCGGGGTGCGGGAGGGGTTTCTAGAAAGAAATGTTAGTTATTTTTGTCTATGTCTGTTGAAAAAATTTTAATGCAATTAATCGGGTAAAATTTAAAATAACCGTCTGCGGTTAACGTGAAGCGTTTGGTTCGAAACAAAGAAAAGTTGATAAAAAAAAACGTAACCGTTTTTCATTCAACAACATCCTCCGCCATACACACACACACACACACACACACACACACACATAAGAGCCATTAATAGCCGCCCACCCTTCTCGAAATAATTTGACACCTCATGTTGTTACACAGTGAGGGCGGCTGTGCGAGTGCTACCAGACTTAACACACGATACTATCATGCCCAAAGTTTATTAATTATCTAATGATATTAAATGATACACATACATACAGACATACATTGAACACGTTATATTTTGGGATAAGCAACTAATCTATTAATGTGTTATATAGTTCAAGAGAAAGACAGTGAGAGATAATGTCTTTGTGGTTTTTAATTTAAATGACTGCCAAATATATACCAAAACTGTTGCATTAGAAGATACATTCCTGTATAAGAATAAAAACGTACTGGTTAAACTTCTTGCATCTAATATGGGTTCTTAAGTGCGAGATATGATGGATAAGTAAGTAATTAATTTTTCTCCTCGCAATTAGAATAATAGCAGTTCCAATAAACTTATTATTTTGTCTTTTCTTCAAATGCATCAGACGATAAATTTAAAATACTGTTCAGTATTTTAGCGACGTAAGATTTTTCTGCCTTTGATATCCGTACTGATCTTAAATTTATGCGATAACTTCAGTAGTCTGAATAAAAACGTTTTGTCTTTCTTTTTCACATATCTAAAGATGGTCATAAAAGTAAATTGTTTTATGAAGTCAGAAGTTGATTTTTAAGAGAAAAGTTAAGACTTGAAACAAAGACAGGTGCGCTGTTTCCAATAGCAACGCCTGTTATATCTCAAGGGAGTTAATTTTTATTACTATTACTACTACTACTACTGACAGTGCAGCACGCCAACAAATTGATGCTGGAGTACAAATGTACGATGCCCAATATATTCATCATTATCCTCAGTCTGATAAGGATATACCAAGCACATGCATCAACATTATTCTCAAAAATGCAATATTCACACGCAAGAAAAAATATTATACTTAATATCTGTTGTAGCATACCTATAGACGATAATGGGTATGTCCCCATTCACATAAATACAGTAGTAAATACTGTATGTTGGTCTGCAGTTGGAAATTCGTCTCCAGCTGTGCTGGGTAAACTCTCTGCTTCCTAGGAGAGAGGATCTCCAGACGAGGCTATGTCGAAGGGCAGAGTCTCGTCTCGGGAAACAGCTATCCGACCTCGTTTTATACGGGCTCGGATACCTCACATTAAATTCAGTCTTGTGCCACATCTGACCGCGTGGAGCGATTGGTAGATATCCTGCAATTGGAGATTCATTGTGGAATTCACTTGACTCACTTCTAGCAGATGACTATTTTTTCTATGCACCACTGGCGAATCTTATATGTGTTGTTCCTGTCCTAAGTATTATCGTTCATTACCAACCTTCATGTGATTATTCTATTCAGTAACCTTCCCTAGGTTACAACAATATCCATAATATGTTCGGATTTCAATAACCATCAAAGTGTTGACAAACATTAAAAAAACGAATTTACTCATCACTTAGTTTCGTATGGTACAATAAGTGTAGATTCCCCAGAGAGGATTGAATTCTTTTATAAAGTAATGGTGATTTTTATGCCTAGATGACAAAGGGTAAATTTATTTACGAGTCATTAGTGCAGTGCCTCGCAACCGCCATACCGCAGCACATAGTGTTCCGCGAAATATTGTCACAGCATACATACATACATACATACATACATGCATGCATACATACATATGTGTGTGTGTGTGTGTGTGTAAGTAGTAATAGTACAATGTTACTATTTGAATAAATGAATAACTATTAAACTTTTTTCACTATTCTTCGATTATGTTATTTTAATTAAATACTTTGTTTTAATATTCATTTCATTTCGAAAAGTATTTTATTTTTTTAATTTATATTCTTAAAATTTTCCTTTATTTGAATAAATGAATGTATAGCCTTTTTTGTATATAAATATATATTTTTGTACATTCTTTGTTTAATTCAGGATTTTTACAAAGTTATATTGTGTTATGAATTAATATTATCGAAGTTCCTGAACTTTTAAATACATACCCTTTAAAAATTTTGATAAGTGTGTCGTGATATATTCATTTGCTCCTAGGTATGACGTTGTTTAAAAAACACGGCAGTGGGGAATCCATTGATGCACGAACCGATTGCAATAGAGAATATGATTTGCAAGATTATTTTGGGAACCTTCGCAGTCAAGCGCACAAATATATATTCAATTTAGTTTTTTCGCTGTGTCAAGCCAAAAATATAGGACATTTTGTGAAGAGTGAACACGCTGCATGATAAGCTTGCTAACCACTACTCCTCAGCAAGTCACCCTAAATTTTAGTAAACAAATAAAATAAAAAAGGTCAAATACTTACCTTCCCAACTTCAAGTTTTACAGATTTAAGTCGCTCATCAGCGCGGACTAGATAATTCATTTGAATTTATTATCAAATATAAAATATGTGATATCTGTTAATAAATAAAATATATAATATCTGTTACTGTCAAATATAAACTATCTAACCCCATGAAGAGCGGATAACAACTGTGAAACTTGAAATGGGGAAGATAAGTTTTTGAAGTTTTTATTTTGTTTGGTATTAATGGGTCATTTTTTTTTTTTAATACTGAGTACTTTAGTTACAAAGAGTGCTTGCTTAAAAAGTATTATCCTCCAGAAATATCTCAGTCAACAGTGTGTACACACACACACACATGTATGTATGTATAACCTGACTGTCACCAACAAGATAAAATGATGAAGTACTAAACTCAGGACGAGTGAATGAATGGACAAACCAAAGAATATTAAAAGCCAGCCAATCATTGCATTTTGCGCCATTCCAGTCAAAACCAACTCACACATCCTCTTTAAAACTAAAACTGCAGTTCAAAGAAAAAATATTAAACATACATGCATACACACACATATATATCTTGAGAACGAAAGCAATAAAAAGATGCAGATTCCTATTGACTTTCTATTCTCCTCCACTTTTTCATTACACACACATATATATTCCTGTTTTCTATTCTTTTTGACTTTTTCATTATATATATATATATATATATATATATGTGTGTGTGTGTGTGTGTGTGTAATGAAAAAGTGGAAGAGAACAGAAAGTCAATAGGAATATGCATCTTTCTTTTATTGCTTTCGTTCTCAAGATAGTACGACAGCAATTGATGAACGGTCGATCGCCTTTTAATTCAGCTGTTGAGTTTCAACTCATCG